CAACTTTTGGTCTATTAATGTCAGTTAAACATATAAGTAAACACAAAACATAAAACATGGAGTCAACTAATTTCAACGCGGCCATTCATTTGCAAATCCATGAGTTGTTTTCCAGAATATGGCACATTCCAACTTCCAGAAGCAAGGACTGCAGAGTTTGTCACCATATGAGTCGACAAGGCTTTCATCATCCATCCAGTGCTGGTTTGGCAGATTCATACAAGCACAACTCCTTGATTGTGCCTTAGCAAAAACATGGAAGACTGGTTCGTGAAACTCGTCAGGCTTCTTATAAGTGGTCGGACACCTGTTGATGTGCTGCATAGTCTTCCTCATCTTCGTTGCCTCTGCTGGAAGTAGACCACGAATGTGGTTAAATACATCATGGCTGCCATCCATGGTTCAAAAGAACATAACCATGGAGTAAGTAGCCATGATGCATCCTCCATTTGATGACACCTTTATTAAATCAAATCCTGCTTGGATGCTGTCTTCATAGAAGATTAGAGAAACGCCTCGTAGATATTGCGCTGTAGGATTTCTACACTCCAAACAGCGCCGAAAGAATGCGTCAACCCTCCCATGTTGATCCTAGACCCATGGAATGGTCAAGGTTATTAGTTCAACGGCTCTTAAAAACCCTCTTCATTAGAAATCTCATTTAGATGTTTGGAGAAAACCCTTGCTTTACAGAGCGCAGCGTAGGAACGAGATGTGATTTTTAAGAGGATATCCCACAGAATGTCGGAAATGAGAGAGTTTAAGTTTATCAGGTTCGACATCTTCTAGGGTCTGGAATGAAACTATAATTCGTCTAAACCCAAGAATTTATAAGCCGAAATACCGTAGACAAACAGGTACAACGGTTATACGCATTGTTAAAGTCGTTAAAGCAGTTACTTAAATGAAGTCGTTTCAAATCTAACCATAAAAAAAATATCACATACATAGTAGACTTCGATAGTAGACTTCCACAGTAGACTTCGATAGTAGACTTCCACAGTAGACTTCTTGACAACAATAGCAGCTTTGTCCTCCTATTCCGGAGCCTTCTTGTTATATCCACCAGATGGATATGCATATGGATATGGAGATAATGCTGGATATGGAGAAGGATATGAAGATGAAGAATGAAGATGAAGAATGAAGATGAAGAATATAATGAAGAAGGAGAAGAAGAATATGATGAAGATGAAGATGAAGACGAAGGAGAAGAAGGAGAAGGTAGAGACGATCATTAAAGTTAGGTAAAAAGCAATGAGCATGTCATTTGTGCTCTTATCTATGCGTTTTAAGCTCTTTAGTTAGGTACTTATTATGTACCCTTTTTATAATTATACTATATTAATAAATCAAGTTTTCTTTTAAATATTCCATCTCTCTTTATTCAGTTTAAATCAATAGTATCCTCCGCAATGAATACAAAACAGTGCTTCTAGAGTTCATATGTACATATACTACTGATGCTGTGTTAAAAAAAACAAGTGTATATTGATGAAATAAGTAAATTTGTCATGTGTTTTGCCAAAAACGCTGTTGTTGGTCACAGTGGTGTGTATACACTGTTGATTTGTTTGGTTTATGTAGAATGTACCAAAAAGAAGTCTGTAATTTTGTACTAGTTTATTTTTTTTTGGGTAAAAGATCAATCCGTTTCTTTACTTACAAAGTAACTAACTATTAATTACTAAGACCATCTCCAATGGTTGCCTCTATTTTTTTCCTCTATAATAGAAAAACTCTAAAATAGAGGTGCATTTATCTCCAATGGTTACCTCTATTTTTCCCTCTAAAAAGGAATATTCTCAATATATTCTATTTGTTATTTGTTCTTAACACCTTTTATTAATAAAATTTATGAATTGACCTCACTTATTTTTTTTAATAAAAACTTACATAAATTATAATACTACTAACTTTGATAAATAAAATTTTTGAATTACTCTTTTATTTTACTGTTTATAAAAGTTTTTATAAATTATAGTGATAGTAACATTTGATTACTAAAATTTTTAAATTAATCCCAATTATGTTACTTTTTTATGAAAGTTTCAACATATTATAATAATACTAAAAGTTAAAATTCATAAATTAAAAAAAATTGTTGTTAATTTTCCTTTATTTTTATGTATTTTTAATTTGCAATTATTTTTTGTAGTTCAATTTCAATGAGAATTTTTATATTTAACAATACCATATGTTTTTTTAACTATAACCAAAATTATCACATTTATATTCATAAAAATTATACTTTTTGCATAAATAGAAAGATTTAAAAGTTAAAGGACTACTTTACAAATAAAAAAATTCACCTCTATTATAGAGGGAAAAAATAGAGTTTGGAAGAAAAAATAGCAATCTCTATTTTAGAGGTGAAAATAGAAGTGGATTGGAGCATAATCTCTATTTTTATCTGTAAAATAGAGGTGTGTTGGAGATGCCCTAAGAAGTCTTTTAGCTCAAACATCAACCAAAGAAAAGAAAAAAGTGTCTATTAAATAAGTCATTCTTTCACTTGAATATCATAATAAAGTTTGCGTGGACTCTTCATGTTTTGGAGCCGTGGAGTGGGAAGAATCTGAAGGCTGGCTCAAATCTGGTGTGGCCATATTTACTTTCAATTCTTGGCACCCTAGTTCATGCTTTCTTGCAAAGTAAGTAATTCAGTTGGATCGCAAATCCAATTCCATGAGCAGTCATCATTAACTATCTAGACTTGCGGTTTGGTTTTTCTTATACTTCCGGACATGACTTGAGTCCATATCGCGATTACGCAACTCAAGCGCTTCATCTTCTGAGAGAAAGCAGCCAAATTTCTCTATTGACGCCCCATATAGATCCAATTTTTCTCATCTCCCCTGCAATATGTGGGGAGCTCAGTGATGTCATGAAGATAAAGCAACTTCAGGTTTTTTCAGGTTGCTCAACGTATGAGGAAATTCTTGAGCCTCTGGCACTCTGACATGTCAAAAAAGACGAGATTCAGCTTATCACCTATCGACGACGGAACTTCTTGTTCCATTCAAGCACTGGAAATACTGTGATATTAGGACAGTGAGCAAGCCAGAGATGCCTTAGTGACTCCAAACTCCCAGTGGTGTCTGGGATTTCGATCAGGTTTCTGCATCTGTTAAGGTTCATGTGTTTTAGGCTTTCAAGGTCCTGCCATACAAAAGAAGTAAGACAATTGTTACAAGCAGATGATTTCCTTTGGGAGATAGATAGAAAACTTCAACAGTAACTTCATAGTGTTTCTTAACTTCTGTGTTACTCAATTATCAGCAAAACACACACATATAAGTAGTACCTGAGTTCCGCTCCATAGTGTTTCAACTGAACTATCAGGGAGATTGAGTTTAACTAGATACTAATTCTGAATATGAGAGAAGCCAACGATTTTGGAGTGTAAGCCTCCCAGTAAAGAGTTGTGGGACACAAAGAACAAGACAAGAAGCAAAGGTGGAAAGTCCCAGAAGTGCTCAAGCATGTGAGCAATGGAAACCAGACGAAAAAAAATCTAAAGGTGATGGTAGGCAAAACTAACTATAACATTGAAATTAGATTCTATCCTGTGCATCCGCACGGAAACTATTTATAATTTATCAAATTTTATAATATAATTTATGTTTTTATTTTTTATATATAATTTTCTAATAAGTGATAAATTTTTTTCTGTTTATATATATTTTGTTTCTATTAATTTATTATTTCTAGTATATATATGACTGCGATTAGAGAAACATTATTCTATTTCGTCTGTTTATACTAATCTAATAAGTACAACGATTATAAAAACGTTATTATAACATGTCCATTTATATTAACCCGAAAAGGATCATAGTTATGAAAACATAATTATAATCCGTTCATTCATATTATTTGTATATTTTATATTTTTTTAAGTTTGAATATTAAAATTTTTAGACTTATTTAATAAAAATATACAGTAATATATTATTTTTATCTTTGTCATTGAAATATTACTTAAATTTGAATATGTAAATTAAATCTTAATTGATATCTGATTCATTATTTATGTAAAAATATAATAAGAACTTATTTTATAAATTTTGATAAATAATATAACCTAAATTTAAGGAAATCTATAGCAAATCTAAATTCAAATTTAAAATTTAAATTTTATTTTAAAATATAAATTAAAATATATTATTTTATTAATATTATATTAAATTGATTTGTTTGATAACATAAATAGGAGTTATCCAAAAACAGAATAGTAGAAAACTAATTAAAACCTGTTTGGACACAAAACCCATTTCTCTTTTAATAGTATAAATGCCGCTTAGCATTAAAACAAAAAGAAAATAAAATAATGTCATCGTCAAGTAAAACTTAGTCTTTTGTTAATCTTTTTTTTGGGTAAAATAGTCTTCTATTAATCTTGTTTTCTCAAATGGTAAAAATTGTAAAGAATATGAAAATGTCTTATCTTTTCAAATTATGAAAATATCATTTTTAAAAGTCCCAAATACAAAATTAATACAATGGTAACATTGGAAATAAGAATTTTATTTTTAGAAAATAAATCATCTATGGATAGGTGCAGATGTTCACCTAGTAATTAATAAGGAAAAATAGCTTTTTCTGACATCAACTATTGAAAAATGTTTAATATATGCTTGAACTTATTTAAATGCTTAAACATACTTAATCTTAATAATTATTTGAATTTCATCCTTAATTTTGATTTTTCGTGCATAAACCAACTTTCGTTCAAACGGAGTTAAGTTACCGTCAAACCTAGTCTACATGGCATCCACGTTAGCGACCATATTAAAGTTTTTTTATAAAAATTACAAAATAACGTAGTTTTTGTGTGTTAACTTTTTTTCGAAATTCAGGTGTATCCGTTCAAGCTCTGTGATTCGAAATTGGATTTAGGGAAATTGACACCGAGATAGATCTTTATTCGAAGCTAGCTGAAATCGAATTGAATCAGCTTGATTATATCGAAGCTGGGTTAAATGGAATAGAGGCCATTCGATTACATTGAAGCTAGGTTTAATCTAATTGAATTAAGAAATCATTTGAATTAATATGATTATATCGAATCTGGGTTGAACCAAATAGCATCAATTTGATTATATTGAAGGTGGGTTAAATTGATCTTATCTTTGATGTTTTGAATCAACGATAACTTTAAAAAATATTATTATGTTGTCAGATGATTAATGATTTTGTGTGTTCTTCTTTGTTCAATCAAGGTGAAATTGATTGAGAAGAAGAAACGATTTTTGAAGGACGAACAACAAAAATGGGGCCCTGAGAAAAACAACAACACAAGCTTCCCACCATCAGAGCCAAAGCTCTGCGATAACGGATGTAGATTCTTTGGGTCACCATCGCCTCCGAGCCGAGGAAGATTAAAAGGTGGTAGCAGAACCTGTAGTTAAGAAATCACTAAAGCTTCCATCTTTCAGTCTTGTCATACCATAACAAAAACAGCCTCTGGAAACTATTCAAACCTCTGTGGTCTGTGAGTGTCAAGATGTTGAAGAAGAGAGGAAGAGACGAATAAGAGAATACATGAAAAAGACGAGATAAAAGAGAAAAAAACGATGTAGTTTCATTTAAAGAGATCAAAGCGACGTCGTTTTGTATTTTTTTTTTAAAAAAAAAAATCTCGCTTACATGGATGCCACGTAGACTGGGTTTGATGGCAACTTAACCCGTTTGGATGAAAGTTAGTTTACGCACAAAAAATCAAGATTAGGAATGAAATTCAAATTATTATGAAAATTAAGTATGTTTAAGCACTTAAATAAGTTCAAGCATAGATTTAACATTTTTTGATAGTTGAGGTAGGAAAAAGCCAATTTTTCTAATTAATAACATGCAAGAACAGAAGGGAGGAAGGTGATAGGTAATTTAGATTATCCTATAATTAATATAAGAGTTAATATTTTGTCAAATTCACCACAAAACGATCTACTATATACGACACATGCTTAGACTAGGTTTAAAACAACAACATACAATGTGTCTTATAACACACACAACATGTAACAATCACATGTGCTTTACACATCTCTTGTGAGTCACTTCGTGGTTCAATAACCGGCCGATATTAGAGATACTTTACGCGTTTGACTCACGCGATGCCTGGCTGTTGCTAACGGTCCCGATGCCCGCAGCACTACGGGACTAACCACTGCCATATATACTAATACAAGGAAACCTCACCCTTACTTGCGGTCAATTTCACGGCATACCTGCCTCA